CTTTTGTTTGCGCACTTTCATGTTGCTTCGAAACAAAAAGTGCACAAGTAGATGCTACCACATATGGAATAACCAAAAATTTCAGAACGTCATGTTCGCAAGATTTATCATGGTAATAATAGTATGGTTTCTTTTAATTGTAATGGTAAAGCCAGTGCTATAAGGATGGTGATAATAGTCTGAATAAAGCAAGCTCAACCTTTGCAAATGTTTTGGTCTTTCATAATAATAGAGTAGAAGATCGAATATGTCTATATTATTATGATATGTGTTTCAAGTTTCATTACATACTTAGACATCACAAAAGTAGTAAGCACAATCATAGATTATTGTCTTTATCAGCACCAAATCAGGGCTTTTGAATAAGTTATAGATTGGTGTTAGTCCTGACAGAGCAATGTTGTCACGGATGAAAGGAGTTAAAGAAACTCATTTGCAGTGGTTTTCTGTTTTGTTTTTTAGTATAAATATTTCCTTTATATCATGATTGGGAGGGTTTTTAGTATCCAAATAAAATAATATCCAAAGATGACAAGCGAAAAGAGAATTTATTCCATACACGAGGAGTGTGATCATAAATGGAGGAAGTTGCTGCATTGTAGTAAGCATCCTGTTAATGGAGGGGGAATTTTGACTAATATAAATATTTGTGTTTTCTACAGTTGTGTGAGATTAACTTCCTTTGTACTTGTAAAAGTTTACTTTGTCAATCTACCCTATTACATTGGTGATTCAAAGTTACCAAGTCACTAATTTATCCTTGATCTAGGTGAATCATTGTATGGATAAATTCCTTTAAGTTTGTGGCTGGATAGGTTGTTTAACTAGCAAGTCATATTCCCTATAATGTTGACTCGTTATTTGCATTAACTAGTCCAATTATCGTTCAAACCTATGTCATGAAGATCAGGCCACCCTCATAATTTGTATCATTAAGAGACTTTAAATTTAAATTAGTAGTACAACGAGCATATTTATTAACTTGGTTATTAAGTGGTGGGCACATGACTGACTTGGTGGGGTATTCTTACTACCTTCTTTTAACCACCTTCATACCCTCTCATTTATTTTTAAGAATTCAATTGCAAGTTATTTTCCTTCAATGATTTGTGATCCTTATATGTCACCAGGGTGGAGCTAATGCTGGGCATACCATTTATAATGCTGATGGAAAAAAATTTGCTCTTCATCTTGTTCCTTCTGGTATACTTAATGAGGATACGTTGTGTGTTATTGGGAATGGGGTTGTAGTGCATCTGCCACAGTTTTTTAAAGAAATTGACAGCTTAGAATCCAATGGGGTCTCTTGCAAGGGAAGGATACTGATATCTGATCGCGCTCACTTGTTGTTTGATTTTCACCAAGTAGTTGATGGACTAAGAGAGGCTGAGCTTGCTAAATCTTTTATTGGAACTACCAAAAGAGGCATTGGACCCTGCTATTCTAGCAAGGTTATCCGAAATGGCATTAGAGTAAGTGATTTGAAGTATATGGATACTTTTCCTCAGAAGCTCGATCTTTTGTTATCAGATGCGGCATTGAGATTCAAAGATTTTAATTATAGTCAGGACATGCTCAGGGAAGAAGTTGAAAGGTACAAGAGATATGCTGAGAGATTGGAACCTTTCATTGCTGATACTGTACATTTCATGAATGAAGCTGTAGCACAAAAGAAGAAGATTCTTGTTGAAGGAGGCCAAGCAACAATGTTGGACATTGATTTTGGAACTTATCCCTTTGTAACTTCATCCAGTCCATCCGCAGGTGGGATTTGTACTGGTTTAGGCATTGCTCCAAGAGTTATTGGTGATCTAATTGGTGTGGTACGTGATTATTTGGATTTTTTTTAATTTTTATTTTCTTTCATTGTAGTAGTTGTTGATGATCTTGTCTTACTTAATATCAATCAATCAATCAATCAATGAGAAACTTGTGCATATCAGTTTTGTTTTTGTGTCTTATTGCTAAAGCTTCTTTTAGCTGAAGAATTTTTGGGTGTTTTCTTTTTCTATTTCCAGTTTAAGAATTCTTAACAAGATTTAGCCAAATAGTAATCATCCAGTCCTGTTTATGGGGCATAGAGAGAGAGGGGGAGTATTTGTTTTGGTTTTATTTATAGAGTACTTCAATGGATATTGTGTCCATCTTTACCTTGTTGCCCTTATTAAATGTTGGGAGGGTTATTAAATGCTAGAACATTTTATTTTTGAAGCGTGTATAGTTAATAAAGGTATAGTTGGAAACTTGTTAAATTTTTAGACAAAATTAATGAGGTTTAAGATTTTTCTTGGTATGTTAAAAATGCTGGAAGTAACTTCTAAATAGGATTAGAGGGCAGAGGGGGGCATTATCAAAGTTCATATGAACAGAGCTTTATTAGGATGAACACAATAATTTCTTTACATTATTTTACTTTGCAGGTTAAATCATACACTACAAGGGTTGGTGCTGGTCCTTTTCCCACTGAAATCTTGGGTCAGGAGGGTGATCTCCTTAGGTTTGCTGGGCAGGAGTTTGGCACAACTACTGGTCGTCCCAGACGCTGTGGTTGGCTTGATATAGTTGCATTAAGATATTGCTGTCAGATCAATGGGTTTTCATCACTCAATCTCACCAAGCTGGATGTTTTGTCAGATTTTTCTGAATTTAAATTGGGCGTGTCTTATAAACACATAGATGGTACACCAATCAAATCATTCCCTTCAGATCTCCGTCTTCAAGATCAGTTGAAGGTAAGCTTTCATCAATGATAATGAACCCAGTTGCATGAGAATTCTGTATTTTCAAAGTGATTTTATATGGATTTTATATGTTGCAGGTGGAGTATGAGGTACTTCCGGGATGGAATTGTGATATTTCTTCCTTAAGAAACTATTCTGAACTTCCAAGAGCTGCACGCCATTACGTGGAAAGAGTAGAAGAACTTGTTGGTGTGCCAATTCACTACATTGGTGTTGGACCTGGGCGTGATGCTCTAATTTATAAATAAGTTGGTCATAATTTCTCGCCAATTTCCTATGTGTCTTTCACGTGCCTATAACCCACAAGAACAGGACAAAGCTTTTGGTAGTAGACTTGCAGCTATTTATTTCAGCTAACTATGGAAGATTTCTAGCATGAAGTGAGGATCATCTGCTTCATGTATTTATCATGTTGTCCATCAGCAATAATACTTGGACTTGTCTTTTAGAATTTTCAGGTTTGGGTAACAATATGTTGTAGATGGAGTATGAAGTACCTCCAGGATGGAAGTGGGATGTTTTTTCGACCAGAAACTAGTGTTCTGATATTCCAAAAGCTGCACGCCATTATGTGGAAAGGATTGAAGAATTTGCTGCTGTACCCATTCATTACCTTGATGTTGGGCCTTTACGTGGTGCCTTCATTTTTAAATAAGTTGAAAATACTTACTCCCCTGATTTCTCGTATGACTTCCATGTTCCCGTAGCCAAGATCAGAAATAATGCTTCTGATTGTAGTATTTCAATTATTTTTATCACTCACTTAATTCTCAAGGGTGGAATATTTTTGTCTCTCTGAATTCTGGAGTGTAACATCATTCAAATACAAACAGACTGCATTCCATATCAAGGCTGTTAATTATTAACTAGTACTCTTCGTTTATATATGATGAGAAGAAAAAGGCCGGGGGGGGGGGGGGCGCTCTAATTGTAGAGCAGTTTGTTGGCGAAGCGTTTTTGGACGTTTCTATGATTGTTCCTGACATTCTGGGCTTCCCAGGCACTAGGAATAGACGATCGTGTCTCCCTGGAACAAATCATCTCAATTAAAGGTAACTCTCTGTATTATTAAAGTATTTACAGCTTAAGTAATCAGGTGAAAAAAACCTTCTACTTCTAGTCTTCGCCATTCTTATCGTGTGCCGTCTGATAACTTTGGCCATGTGATTCTTGAAGTTAGAACCAATTTTTGAATTGAGCGAATTAATGAGACGTGTTCTTGTTCGCTGAAAACTATCTTTCATTCTGCCAAACTATGGTGATGTAGGTTCGTTTGACAGTCATATTGGGAGGAATAAGGGACTGTGACTTTCGGAGACTTTTTATCTTGTCTATATGCAGTCAATAACATCATCTGCCATACCTTGAACGAAACTAATAAATGTCTCAATGTGTTGCGGTTGGAAACTACTTTCGTTGCACGTCTCTCAAAGGACGCTAGAAAGTTAAGAACTGTTCTCTGCTTTCATGATAGATAGATTCATTCATTGGTTTAATGTAATTTTTTAGCACTGGCAATTAATGAGGATAACCTTTGGGGGAGAAAGGACTTGTTGGCTGAACTATAGCAATCTCTTTTAATCATTGCTTCATATAATTATGCTACTGGTGTTTTTCTTGTCTGCATCTTTTAGCAAGCAATCAGGCTTTTATCACTAACCATTTGATGAAATGATGGGCAGGTTATGCCAAAAGTCATGTAACTTTGACTCTACGACTCCTCAAAAGTGGAGGTACACAAATTTTAGAACTCTAAAATTTTGTTTTCTCACAAAAAATTCATAATAAAGAGACAAATTACGTTAGCACTAGCTGAACGATAAACTTGTCCCTCCACTTTCTGTTACCATCACTATTAAAAGAAGCTCCTCTCTGCATCTTTCTTGCAGTTTTATACTAAGCTACCACCATCTACTACGTGCAAACGACTTTGGAAGAATGCCCCCTCCCATTTCTAGGGTGATAGTTATGTAAAAAAGAACGTTAGAAGTGAACTATGGTGTCCGAAAATTAGTATGACTTTGATATTAATCGGGAAAAAAAAAACTATGGTGTCCGAAGATTAGTGTTTAGCCCCACATTTGTGCCCATCAAGACTTGATATTTCAAACAATACTTGGACACTTATGTTACCATATTCATGCTCCCATCTTGTAAGTTGTACTGTATTCACATCAATGTCCATGCTTTTTTATCTTTCGACAAACTGGAATTCTGTGAATGAATATTGGTAGTAGAACCAGAAACAACTCATTTATAGATTAACTTGACTACTGAATGCTAGCTACTGATATTTCACTATATTTCAACTCCACTAGACAGTAGGAAAAGTAGTTCTATTTCTTGGGGAAAAAAAAGACTGCCGATTCTCTTAGAAGTTCCAAATGGAAGTGGTAAAAGTAAGCTCGTCGCTACTGTCATATGCTTGAAATTGGGTTGCCTCTGATCCATGATTATCTGCAATTCCGTGCATCTCGATTAATTCCTCCCAGTTGACACTCTTGTCAGAGCACTCCCCAAAATTATCGCTGAAATCATTTGATAAAGCTTCAGACTTGGTGGAGCTTCCTGACTGTTTTTCATCCTTCAGTACTCCCATCTGTTGGAGAAACTCATGGAGGTCAATTTGAGGTTTGTCCTGAATATCACTGATCATAATTTCTGACGATGTTTTAGCATCTTTCTCGTTTGGAAGGTTGTCTGCATTATGTTTGCTTCCTATAATCTGGAGTTCAGCCTTTGGATCACAGCATGAACTAGAGGGAGCCTGACTGAGAACCCCATTCTGCTTGAGTTGTTGTAGCCTCTGGTGGATTACATGAACACTAGGTTGAGCATTAACATTAAGCAATCCACAAGAAGGGAACATTGAAATGAAATTCTTGGAAGGAAACCATTTGAACTTTTGAGATTTGATGGTGGAGCTGGAGGTGGGTTGAAGGTGGGGAAGATTAAGGTAAGCATCGGGACCATAGAGTCTCCTTGCAGCTTCATCATAAGCTATGGCAGCTTCTTCAGCTGTGGCAAAAGAACCAAGCCACAGCCTGGTTCTCTTCTTTGGCTCTCTAATCTCAGCAACCCATTTCCCCCATGTTCTCTGACGAACGCCTCGATACTCGCACATGGCATTCTGAGGGCCACCTTTCCCTCTGCTTGGCCCTTTCTTCCATGGCTTCAAGGGAGACTTTCTGCAAGAATCCATCGCTGATTCTGAGGAAAGCCGAATGAGGACAGGTTATGGGGTATCTGTTATTACTTGAGATACTTAGAACTGACTAAGAAGAGTAAGAAAGGCGCGGATTTGTAGGGAGCGGGAGAGGAGTTCATTATAAATGTTGTCACGTTAAGAGAAGTAACAAAGCTCATGTGACCGTTAGTGAGCCTTGACTCAGAATGTTTCAAATATTCAATTAATAAATAATAGGGTTTATTTTGGTCTGAAAAGGTCTTCGTTTGCATGAAACTACAAGCTAACGGCACGTGTTTGATGGCTGCAAGAATGGATATACATAGTCTGATCATAACCTTAAATGATAAAGTCAACAATATCATAACCTTTTCCTCTCAAGTATGTTCTTCTTCTTCTTGTTTTTTTTTACCTCAACGAAACGAATTATGGCTAGTCTGTGACAATCGGTAGCTCCCTTGGAAGGAAAATTTGGATGAGCTGCTTATCTGATGTTAGAAGTAAAACTCAAATTATGCTGTAGGTGTGAGTTTAAGGGTTACTAAGGAGCCATAAATGATGAGGTGGTAAGTAGAATACTTGAAATGGTATTTGCAAGCGATGGAGCGAGTGCATTGAATGAGGTGTGGGAATATCAGCCTTGGATTCTATAAATAAGATAGGAGTTGAAATAGTAGTGGAAAAAGAAGAATGATGATAAAGAAGAAAGGGCACCTCAACATTTTGTGATTTCACGAGCCATATTTCACATGTTTTCTTTGTCATTCTGAGCCTCATTCACGGGACCATCTTCACCTATATCCCATGCTTCCCCTCTCTATGTTTTGACATTTTGAATTACTTTGTTTTACCGTGAAGCCTGGATATGCCATGTTTCATGATGCTCATTGCGGTGATGGTGTTATCAGTTATCAGTTTATCACTATAGAATCAGAATGACAAGCCTCTGTAAAAATATAATGACAAAGTAACAAATGCGTTAAAGATAGACTTATTTTTAATAAAATACAGGCAAAACACGCGTTTGATGATAAAAATAGATGTTCGGCTAAGTGAAATTCTGAAGATATGGACCGTATCATACCTTTTATTGGCGCATTTTATAGTACCAACCACTGTCTTATGCACTGAGAATAAAGTCCAATCTTATCAACAATAATTAACCTTGTTCGTAAAAATTTAATTTATAACTTATAAAATTATGGGTTCAAATTTCGCTGCTAATAAAAATATTTTATTGATGAGTGATCTGTAAATATTTTTTAATACAAAAATATGCCCTAACTGTAGTAAATCTTTAAATCAACTCACCTAAACTTTTTTTCTCCTGTAAAAAAACTCCAATTTTTGTGTTTCATACCTTCTAGTTTCCCAATAGCTCTATAAACATGCGTTACGATTTGTCGACCGAATCTCCTAATGCTAACATTCTCAGTAAATACTTCCACCAAAAAAAAAAAAAAAGAACAAAGACAATTTAACGTGACGTGGCTGGACTATAGTGTTATAACGTGTAAGGTTGTCGTGCTGGACTGTAGACGTCAATGTTTAATTAGTTCGCTGGGCGTGTTGAGTCGGCAACATGCCACCAATAGAATTTGTACTCTAACTGCTAAGACGTCATGTTAATTGCTACCAGTTTTCCATCCTTCTTTTGGAAAGATCCACGCTTAAAAAATGTGATAATATGTAAAATTAATTTTTCCTTAAAAAAATTGCACCTAAATCTCGGAAGAAAATTTATCAACAACTTGCAAATTCTCCATATGTATCAAGTTATAAATGTATAAAAATTAAGATTAGTAAGTATTTTATAAATTTTATAAGAGCTTTTGTTAATAATTTTTTTTTTTTGTGAGACTAAACGTAATCTTTCCTTTTTCCTTTCCACATCCATTTTATGATTTTTAAATTCATCATGCATCTCTTTCTTTGTAACTATTAAGAAATCTAGATTTTCATCCTTAATGTTCGAAAAATAAAATACGAAATCAATCATATGAATGCATTTCTAACTAAAATTGTGTATTTTTTAAGAGTACATAAAATTAAAGTAAAATATGTACACATGAACAAATTTTTTTGACGATTTTTCTTAATAAATTTAAGATTAACTATATCTTTACAAAAGCTTTCTCTTTAATACTAGAAGATTATAAATCAGAGTTATCAACAGACGCTGATATGACAAAATTCCGTGTCCCCCGCTACATATGAAGTCCCACCAAAAACCGGACGAATCCTCAGGAATGATAAGAAGGTTATTGAGCGATCGATTGGGATTTGGCACTCATGCAGTCGATCAAGTCAAAATAAATGGAAAACATCAGAATTACAACAGGACATCCAGGAGATTTCTCTTTGAATCCCCCAAGATTTCCATCGAAGAATATCCTAATGATCTCGAAGAAACAACACTCAACTCTGAAGACGCGCAAGAACACAATTTAAACTCTAAAACTGATATTCCCACAAAATGGATAGACAAGAGCAGTCAGAATAGCTAAAGGATCACCTATTACAATTAATTAATCACATACGAAGCTTATTCATCATAATTACAAATTTCAGAACACAAAATCTCCAGATTTCTTGAAGATTCAAAAATCTACCTGGTCGGGCGGACGAGGGAATTGAAGATGCGTGAGAGAGCGAATCTCACGCGAGGATATGCTCTAAGGGTGTAGAGGGTGGTCTGTCGCAAGAAGTCTTCGATGGTCTGGACAAAGAGATTGAAGCTCCGGATCGGAGGGACGTAGAGGGTGAGAGGCACGGCGGAAAAGGCAACAGCGAACAGAATTTGCAGCATTTCTGAACAGCGAGGCGATCACCACGGAGATGAAGAGAGAAACGTCGCGAGAAATCAGCGCAAAATGTGTGGAATATTGTGTGGTGGGCGATTCATAGATGGGAATCTAGGAAGGAGGCTATTTATTTTCACATGAGAAGAATTAGAGGGTGAAAGGAGAAAATGGAAAATTTGAAAGAATGGAGCTAGGGTTGACTTGAATGGTAGATTAAGGGGAGACAATACTGCGTCAGTATATTTTATAAAATTAAAATTTTAAATATATTTTTTTTAAATAAATCAAGATAAATTGTGAAAAAATGGTTAACATCTGAGAGAATAAGAGGGCACAAGAATTAGGAGGGACAGGTGGCGGGGCGAGCAAGAAGCGAAGAGGGTCGAGCTTTTCCAGCAGCTAAGCCAATGCGGTGAGTCATGAATAGGCGGCAGGCGAGTGGGCGTGAAGAGGAAAGCTGGAAATGAGAGATTTCTGTCAGACATTCAGTCCACAACATTTATTAATTATTATTTTTTTATAAATATTAAAAATATACTCTATTTGAATCACAACATAAAACATTGATAATTAATTTATACTTATTCAAAAATGTTATCTAAAACTTAAATTTCTCAAAACATTTTACATTTTTTTAATTATATTCTCATTAAATATTTTATATAAATATTTTAATAATAATAATTAAATAAACTTTAAACTCTCATGGATGTACATGACACTGCACCTTACTTTTTTTTTCCCCTTCTTTTTTAGGTTTTCTTCCGTTCTGTCCCCTCACTCAAGGCCACTGGGCTCGTTATGCATTCTTTACATATAAACTAGATTTTGACCAGTGCAATGTATCAAGATATTTTTTCTATTATTTATAAGTATTGTAAAAAAATTTTGAGATTTTTTTTAAAAATATTTGTAAGATTCTTTAATGGCTGAGCATAAAATAAAAAATAAAATTTTAAAATAATTTATTTTTGTATACTCTTACTTTATGCTAATTTAAATTTAAATAAAAATTTATTCTATTTTAAAATTTGTTTTACTCAAATATATGAAAGATGTAAATAATAATTTATTTTTATTTTAAAATATGTTGTGCCCATAATGGATTTAAGAATGCAACACCTACATTTATGCTTTTCCTTCAATTGATGTGAGGAGAAACTTTGAAATAAGTTAAAGAATACATTTTTTTGTTAAATTCTACTTCATAATTAATTGAAAAAGAAAATTTATTCTCCAAAAAATATTATTAATTTTGTATTTGTCCTGTCTAAATTTCTAAGCATATAGTGCAAAATAAAATTAGCTTATTTTCTTTAAGAATGTGTTGGTCAATGCATCACGAGAAAAATAAAACATGTATCATAAATAACATAATGAATCACACAATATAATTTATATCATAATAATATTTATAAATCATAATTATATCCAAAAGTAAAAATAAATATGAATAATGAATTCAAATTAAGCAAGTATAATAACCAATGTCATAGTATTATTTATTAATCATGTATATGTCTATAATGATAAAAGCAGTATTTAAGAAAAGTTTATGATCAGGAGGTATGCAATGAAAAATAAATTCATTAACATCCTATGTTTAAATTTGAAATACATGATTACAATAGTTTTAGTAGATTTTTAAGTTATGGTAGAGGTGTATATAATAATAATAAATTAGTTACCTCATACATATCAAGAATATTCACAATAATTTTTTTTATTTCTGTATACTATTTTATAATTTGTTACTCCTACCCATATAAAAAATATAATAAATAATTTGTTATATATCCTATGATGTGTTATCCTCACATAAATTAGAATTTAAATAACAATATATTTTGCTTTATATTTTGTTATTTTGAAATAACATTATATTTTATAAGTTAAATTTTGAAATTTATGCATTATTGCATATAAATTAAAATTTAAATAACTCTTTATATTTTAATTTTTTTTCTTAAATACATATTAAAAATATAAATAACATACATATTAAAGTTTTGCCCATACATGTTAACTTTAATATTATTAGGAGTAAAATTAAAAAATTATTGTGATATTATCTTTTATATATATATATATATATATAATACAATCAACTCATGATAGACCTTTTACCTATCATTTTTACTATAAGCCACACAATCGTTCAACATGCAATTTGTTTAAAAAAGAAAAGCCACTATTTATCCCATATGAGTTTATTTTATTTTATAATTTATTATCTTGTATATTTTTAAAATAAAATTAAAAAGTATATTATACAGAATTTGTTATTTCACGTGAGTTAAGACTTAAAATAATAAACATTATCCGTCAAATTATACACACATTTTTTTGTAATTTATATAAATTAAGTTTGTAATTTCATTGTAATAAAACATTCTATTTTATGATTTATTATTTAAATTTATATTTTATAATACAATTAATTATCTTATACGCAGAGTTCTTACCCTTATCAAAAATATTAGGTATTATATTATTTTTTATTATGAATCTTATATTGACAAATATTTTTTGTTATGAGTCCCGTGCCTTTTTTGTTTTTTGTTTTTTTTTTGGTGAATCCCACATGAGATTTTAGTTTACAAGAATTATAATTTTTTTAAATATATATGGTTATTGTTCATTCAACTGTAGATGAATAGTACCATATGTCAGTGGCAGAGTGAGGATCTTAATACAAGAAAAAATATTTTTGTCTTTTTAAAATCAATTAAATTTCTTTCTTTTTTTGTTGTCTTTGTTTTTTAATTCAACTTTCAATTATAGATTTGTAAGTATAGTGAATTAGATAAATGCATTCAATAAGTTTATTCTTGATCCTCGAATCTTCATTCTCTGTTGTCTTTTTTCTTAACTAGTATTCTTAAGATGAGGATGGTACGGATCTAGTTTAGTAAAATTAATTTTTCTTCTTCTATTTTTTAGAGGATTAATAAATAATTTTGACATTTAATTATGGTGAAATTATGGTTAATATTCATTAGGCTAAGTTAAAAAAATAAATTTTAGATTTGGGCTAAATGTAACATTAAAATGAGTTTAAAATTTAAAATATTAAAATAAGAGGGTGCAAAGTCTGAAAAAGAGAGGGAGCACATTGTAAAATATGAGAACATATACCTTATTTATGCTATTTTTCTCAAGTGAAATTATAAATATTAAAACATATATTTTATTAATTGTAAAAATGTAAAATATTAAAACATATATGCTATTTTTCATATATTTTTCCCATATATGCCTCCCTCAACAGCACGTGACTCTACCATTGCCTTATGCACTTTACATACATATAGATTATTTTTACTTAAATTCCTTACAAAACAAAATTTATTTAAATTCACTATTACTTATAATATGCATGTATTTTAAATATGAAGAAATATAATAATTTTTCTGTCTTAATTTATGAGGTACTTTTAAATTTTAGATAAAATTAGATATATCAATAAAACTCGTTAAATATGCTTTATAACTTTATTCTTTAAAAAAATTATAAACTTATAAAAATATCTTTATTTAATTCTACATTTGTGTAAGAATATTAATGAAAGAAAATATAATGATAGGAGTAATATTGAAAAAAAATTATGAACGAAATCTCATTATTATCAAAATGTTTTATATTTTTTTTGAACACAAGGCCACGGGAAACTCATGCGGGAGGATGGAACAAATCAAAACATATCAGATTCCAGGTGAGATTTGCATCCCGACGACGGATGATTAAAAATGATGAGATCTAAACTATCTTGAGAGGTCTAGTGAGCGAGAAAGTCAGCGCAGCTGTTCGCTTCCCTAAACATGTGGTAGAAGGTAATGATTCAGTCTCTCATGACAAGATCTTTGATTTTATTGATAGTTCTAGAGAGAGGATGATTGTCAGAAAGATTATGCTGAATGAGTGAGAAGACTTCCATAGAGTTAGAATGTATATTGATATTAGAAACTCGCATATTCCAACAAAGCTGGAGTCTTTTGAGAATGGTTAAAAGTTTAGCCGTGGTAGCCAAGGTATTTAGAGAAGCCCTTGATCCAGTTACCTTTGTCATCACGCATGATTCCGCCACAGGATGGCGCTCCATTAGAATCGACAGCTCCATCAACATCAAGGCAGATCCAACCTATGTCCGGAAGTCTCCAACGTGTTTCAAATCTTTTCCTCTCACGAGTAAAAATGTTAACTTTTGATTGGAGCCATATGTCATTAACAACTTGCTGGGTATTAGAGAAGACAATGTCAATATCCTGAATAGTATCCTTAGAAAAAATCCTTTTACAGCGTGCCTTCCAGATGTTCTAACAAACTTGAGCGAATAGCTTCTGCCAAGGGATCCTTCTTGTATTTAGGTTGTCCGCCTTGACTTTCACATTCCAAGATATTCAGTCCTGCACAGAAAGGGAGAAGAAAGTATTAAGTTTTGAAGGTTTCACAAGTTTAATCTAAATACTACGTGCTTCAATGCAATCTCTCAAAATGTGAATAGAAGAGTCCGGAGAGTTACAACTAAAGGTGCAGATGCGTTGAGAATGGGCATTCCCTTCGATATAATTGGAGTTGACTAGAAGTCTATCCCAAGTAGCTTTCCAGAGAAAGTACTTAATTTTTTCATATATAGGCCACTTCTAAATCTTAGACTAAATGCTGTCATTAGTTTGATCCTTTTGAGAGACCACGACTTTGTAAGCAGATTTGATAGAGAAATTCCCATCTAAAGAAGGTCTCTAAATGAGTACATCATCATTGCTACTAGGATTAGGTGGTTGGAACAGCGCAATTTGTCTTATCACCTCAGGATGGAGATGACAGTTAAAAAGGTTAAAATTCCATCCTCCTATGGGGTTACGAAGATCAGAAACTCTTACATGGAGAATGTGCTCAGTACTAGAAAAAGCGTACTTAACAAGAGGTTCTGGAAGAGGGGACCACTTACTATACCAAAATGGAATTTAGTCACCCTTACTAACTTTCCAACCAACGTGCGCCATGAATTGATCCTAAACTTTACATATGCTATTCCAAGTAAATGAAGAGGAGCTAGGTTCATAGACTATAGGAATAGTGGGTTTAAGACATTTATATTTGTCACGGAGGATCCTGATCCGAAGGTGATTAGGTTGAGTAATGAGACCCCAGTAAAGTTTCATGATAAAAGCAATATTTTGAGCTTTAAGCTTTTTGATGTCGAGACCTCCATAAGATTTCTCCGTGGTAACACAATCCCAAGAAAGAAGATAGGGTTTCTTATGCCCGTCAGAAGAGTCCCAAAGAAAATTTCTAAAGTTTCTCTCAAGTTCAGTAAGGACATTATTGGGTAACAGCATGGTCTGCATAAAGTAGCTAGAAATGGCTGAAAGGACAGAATTAATAAGGACGACCTTACCAGCGATGTCTAGAGCGTGCTTTGTCAAGTAAAGGGGCAAAGGTAAGCTTGGATG